TCTTGTGAATTATACATAAAATTTAGGTCTATACCGATAAAAATTGTCAAATTCTTTATACAATGATGAAAAGTAGCTGCTGTCTCAGCAGCTCTTATAAATTGTAATTGGATGGTCAATATGTATACCGACATTTTTCAGTTTGATTGAATATTATTTGCGATCTAGGAGTTTCCATGAGACACATATATATTTGAACCGTCTTTCACTTATATATTTCGTTATAGCAACACAACACACTTGGTCTGTTCCCGTACTGCAAGAATCTACTATTTTTTACTCCGATAACACTTTTTTCCTTTATGATACATTTCGTTATAGCAACACAACGCACTGTTGGTCGGTGTATAGCATTAAACACGTTTGAAGTCCATTTGTATTTTAATATCGATTTTCGATATATTTTCGAGCTAAAATCATCAAATTAGTCATAGTGTAAACCTTGCCAGTTGTTTACTATTGACTAATGTTTTCCACTTCTTGACTCATTAGGCCACCGACAATGTGTGTGTGTGTGTGATACCACCATTGCTTTCAATATCTCTAGCGACAAGTGAAATAATCAATCAAAAAGTAAATACAAAAGAGAAATAGATAAACAATTTTACAACTTACCCATAATTCAGTACCCCAACTCATGTTGGAATTTTCTGCCGTCTCCTCCGCCAGTTTTACAAATTTTTAAATATAATCCACGAAAAGAAGAAATTTGAGGCAGGAGCACTGCTTGTTGTATTCCCCCAAAAAAGGTTATGACAATTTGTTTTAATGTTTTGTTTTGATTGGTTTTCCTCTGTTTCGTTTTTATTTTGTTTTCACTTCTATCCCTCTCAATTGTTTAGGGAGACACCATACAACAAATAAGTTGGCAACACTGTTATGTATTTGTCAGAATACAGCAGCAGCAGCAACGGCGGCAGTAGCAACAACAAATTATTATAAAGCGGCTATTTTATGCACTTAAAAAATATATGAATGACTCGATTTATGATCGTTTCTTGTTTGCGGTTGTTGTTGTTGTGTTGAGATAGAGCAAGAGCAGGGTGTCAGCTAAACGTCGTTGCTGTTCTTCTTATTAAACGAACAAGAAAAAGAATAATACAATGAGAATGAAAAATTCAATTAAATTAACAATTTATAGAAGTTGAAGGAAACTCAATACAACGCACACACACACTTGCACCGAGTCGAATAAACGCGCACACATACACATAGACGAAAGATAAAAAATTGTCTAAAATGATTAATAATTAAAAAAAAAAACGAATACTTAAATGCAAACAACAATAAAGAACAGCGATACATTGGCATAAAACAGAATAATTTGAAAGGGGCAAACAGGTACGGGTTGTCTGCTTGACTTGTGTGGTATTGTATGTTGTTGGCTTCTAGGTAAGAAACATGATGAATAGTCGAAAACAGGTAAAAGAATGAAACGATCTCTTGAATGCATGGAATTAATCGAAAAAAGAGAGTATCCAAGGTAACTCTTTTTTGAGACCACAAGAAGTTAATGTACTCTGTTTTTCAAGAGAATTAAATAATTGATTTTTAATGGAAAGATTTAATTGAAAATCTCAAAAATGATTATGAATCCATTATTAACATTATAAGAACTCTCTTAACAAGCACAATTTAATTTGTTGATGAGACACCAAACAATTTTGCTGTTCCCCAAAACTAAATATCTGGGTTGAGGCACTACTACTAGTTTTTTTTTATTATTCTCTTTTAGCCAATGTTCTTCTTCCGTCTCTGTTGACGTCAAATATACAAAAGACGCGACGTTAATATCCGAAGCTAAGGCTTTTTTTCAGTTCATATGACATCGGGGCACACACAAACAACAATTGCACAATTCCACAACACACTGTTGTGTGTTTTTCTGTATTTTTTCTTTCTTTTAACATCAAATCACTCTGTATTTCATCTTTATTTGCAGTTTCTCGATGCCCTTTTTTGATTTTTGTATTATCCAACTTGCTTCAAATGCAAAACAACAACAACAAAAAACCGAAGATTGTTTATTCTTTCTCTGTGGCTGTTGTTTTAGCTTTTCGTTGAAAACTGGGTGTTGTATGTATGTACATATGTACGTACATCTTCTATCTGTATAACTCTATTGGTTTAATTAACATCATTCACGTTATTGTTGTTTTAGCTTTTGTTTTGGTTTAATAACAACGTTTCACTTTAGTTGTTGTTGTTATTTACAATAATCCAACAAAACATTTTTTGCACTGCATTTTTTCCAATTCCAGAAAAAAATTGTATTTTTTTTTGCAATCTGTGTAGACACAAAACTCAACGCACCACACAGCCGACTATTGCCAGGGGCCTCCAAGCAAAAAGAAAAACTACTTGCAGACGACACCGTTTTCCAGTACCATTACTTTTTTGTGGGGATTTTTATGTATTGACTGTGTTTTTGATTCATTCACTTTTCGTCTTCACACCTTACTGTCGTTTTTCGCCATTAAACACTTGCTTACTTTTTTCTGGGTTGTAAATATATATTTCGCACAATACACTTTGCAGATTCACTTAAACGAAAATATTTATACTGTGGAAAATTTTAACAACAATCACACACAAGTGGGAAAATTGATGATTAATCGGTTATCGGTTTCGTTTTTTTTTTTTAATTTTTCGGGCTATGCGCCGTCCAACTTCGCACTTGTACACTTCGCGACGTTCCACTTTCGACTAATGTGTAATGTTCGCTTCAAATTAAAAAGTGAAAATAATCGACTAATCGATAACGGGAGCAAATCGAGAAATCGATTTTTGGTCGATTAGTCTCGTTCAATCGACATAATAATGAGGGGTGGGAAATTGCATAGACAATTGCCATGAATTATTAAAACCTTTTTTTCCCATATTTTCTTAAGTGTTTGTGATAATTTTTTTGAATGAGGCTTCGTTTTTGCTTAAAAAGTTATGAATGTACTCGATAACAAAGTCAAGTCAAAAAATCGATTTTATAACAAAATCAAATGATACAAAAATCGATCTAAGTATCCCTGAACAACCCTCACGTAATAAGGTTATGTTTACATCAAATGAATTTAAGTAATGAAACAAGTTATGCCATGTTCTGGCGGGCACTTGAACAACGTTGTTCGTTCTCAAAATTACGTACATGAATTAACCCGTTCATGCAATACTATTCTTAATTCATGTCATCAGAGTTTATTTTTTCAAACTTTTTGTTTCTTGTTTTACACCAAATTTTTAACATATTTGCATGAATCACATAATGATCTAAATAGAAAAAAATAATTCTCTTTTTCCTGACTATAGTATGAACCCATATCAATTAACTTTTAATTCACACATATAAAAAAATTGGAGATTTTTTTTATTGGGTGGCCCCACAATTTCTTCTTGTTTTGTACGCTAATTAGAACAAAAGGGAAAGAAATGCATACTGCATTATGTAGACAACTAAATTTACATCCTTCTGCATACAATTTGCATAGACAATTTTTTACTTTTCATTTATCATTTTCAATTTGACTGAAAAAGGTTGAACATTTTATAAATATTTTCAAGCTATCAAAATTAAGACATGGGACAAATTTCTTCGTTATTCAGAGAGTGATTCGAATTGGACTACGTACAAAAATAGGCGTTCGCTCAGAAAATTTTGTATAAGGAACTAAGGGTCGAACAACGAATGAGAGAGGGAACAACGCTCGTCTGTACATGGCATTAAATGTCACATATAAAAATTTGGAGAATTTTTTGAGTTTTCGCAAATTTGTTTCTTGTTTTGTACGCTAATTAGAACCAAGGGGAAACAAATTCATATTGCATTATGTAGATAACAAAATTATCAGCATATATAAAAACTAGACAATGTTTTACTTTTCATTCATCATTTTCAATTTTACTAAAGAAGTTTGAAAATTTTATAAATATTTTCAAGCTGTCAAAATTAATTTATTTTCTATAAATGCTCTCAATTGTTAGAGATGGGACAAATTTATTGTTTATTCAGAGAGTGATTCGAACTGAACAATATACAAAAGTCGGTGTTCGCACAGAAAATTTTATATGGGGAACTAAGTAACTACTTCATAATTAATGCGGTGTACACACTAGCATTTTTGAATGGCACTCTTGCCCAAATTTTGCTTGTTTCATAGTGTGCATGATCTATTAATAAGGTCACCAAGATAGCAATCGAAATCGGAAAACAGCTGTTTTTTCTCAAGTCTAATGTCAAAAATTTCGACTTTGTTTACGTTTTCATAATGGAAGTCAATTCACAATAATGCATTTTGACAGCAAACTTGAGAGGTATCGATAATCAGCTGGTCTCCCTTGGTGACCTTATTTATAGGCCATGATAGTGTGGCCTCACATGTTTGTCATTCATCAGGCAACCACAAAAATATTTATGGTTGTTGGACAGTCAGTAATCGATAAAAAAGTTGACAGTCAAAAATAATAGTGTGTACACCGCTTAAGGGTCGAACAACGAATGAGAGAGCAAACAACGCTCGTCTGTACATGGCATTAGTCGTTCATTTCGGATGTGGTTTAAGTCCGTTTTTCTTATATTGAGATATTTAAAGGTTTTGTTTGTGGCTTTGTGCCCTTAAACATGGTAGAATATCTAACGTAATATGTTTTGTAAACTTCTCTAGTAACCAACATTTTTTTCTAAATAAACGACTCAAGTAGCCCCAAGGTACCAAGGTATATATATGGAAAAAAATACATAAGCTTGCGTAAGACATTACACCGTGCCTTTACCATAAGGCGGATTTAACCCATTTTCAATATTTTCAAAATTGTAGACATATTCTTAAAGGACAATTAAAGGGGAAGACAGAGGAAGGGGGGATTTCAGACATGGCATGTTATCATTGTTTGATTTAAAGTAATAAATGCAAACAGAATAAGTTTGTTGATTTTTTTCTAAACATTGCAAGCGTCCTTTATTTACTTATATAAAACCATTAAAATCTAATCTATTATATCTTAGATCGTCACACCTTAGGTTTACGATATTTAGTTTGTATCCAAACTCTGTACATTTTTAACATACGCCCACGATTAACTTGCAATCTCCGGTCGATGACATTTTGTTCTTCTTCGAAGCCAACACCAGTAAATAAGTTCCTTACTTCTTCCTGTGTGAAGAAATATACCATTGTACCATCTCCACGAACATACAAATTATCTTCCAAACATTTGCCACTTTTAAATCGCAATTGTGCCAAATCATAACGACCATAATCACGGAAAAGCAGTAAACCTCCAGGTTTTAAATATTTATAACAATTCTCAGCAACATATTTCATTTTACTTGGTTCTATGGCAGACAAAACAAATATCAAAACGATAATATCCTGTGAATCGGGCTCGAAGGGCACCTGCCAATTCTCCAATGTTGCATCCATAACAAATATTTCACATCGTTTCGCATCAAATTCAGGATGATTTCTAAATATGTCAATGGCCTTTGCAGAGAAATCACAACCATATACTTTTAAATTTGGTTCTGTGCTATACTTGAGAATGGGCAATATGGTATTACCAACACCACAACCAAGTTCAAAGATACTTCTACTCTCTTGGATGTCTTTGTTGGGAGCCAATTCAGCAAACTCTGTAAACAGCCAATGGCGATCCTTAAAGAATCGATTCTGATGCACACCATAAAAGGAATCCCAAAATTTGTCAGCATCACCTTTAAATTTCGCCTTGTCTTCATCGGACATTTTTATGGAGGAATTCTTTTCAACGGCTTGTAGTGCCTGTTGTTCTTGTTCTTCGTCCCACTCCACATTGTCCCTAAACAAAAAAGAGAAATAAACATTTTAGTGAATTTATGGAGAATTATAACTATACCATGCATTAAATTCATTAAACATTGATTTGTCGGTTAATTCTCTTCCACCTCCTGCTGGTTTCTTACGATGTCTAGTGTACTCCAAATCGGTTGGTTGCTTTGCAAATGACCTCAATGTCGGCAATAGTAATTTGCCAAAATTTCTCAAATATTTACCATGCATTATGGGAGAAAACATCATCCTCATTGGTTAGGAATCGATTGCCAAATACAGGACGTTTTTCGGCGTCTAAATTATCTGAAGAATTATTAGTTTCTTCCTTGGAAACGTCGTCGCACATGTTATTATTTTTTGTTTATTAATCTAGGGCAAGGTATATTTAATAAGGTAGCCGCATCAGCCCAGCTGTTGGACAAATAAATGTCAAAAATGTTGTTGTAATGTTGAACCAAAAAATTAAAAAAACAAAATTATAAATGAAAATCTCCGAACTTCGAAGAGCTTTTTTGACAATACTTTTATTAACATTTTCTACGAGAATTTGTGTAAAAAAATCTTGTCAATCTGTTTGTTTTGGCAAAATATTTTTGACATATCAAAATACAACAAAAGAAATTATGGGCTATTGTATATCTACCTTGATCTAGGGATTTATAAATCGACATTTGATCGAGGGAAACAATTGAAAATGGGTAACACATGTTTTATAATGTAGCTGTGTTCCAGTAATTTTAGATACAGGTGGTTAGATGATATTTGCTCTGAATCAATGTTTAGTATTAATTTTAGAACGCGTTTAGACTACTCAAAGCACTCGATTTCAAACGTCAATTCCATAGCGTCAATCCTGTTCACAAATCCAATGGATTGTATTTGACATATACGCTATGAAATTGACATTTGAGATCGAGTGGATTTAGGGTAGTCTAAACGCGCTCTAATATTAATATGCACTTTTAGGGTGTGTGAAGTTTGGACCTATCACAAGTGGGAGATATCAGAAGAAATATCTATTGATTCCATATCTTCGATATTGTATTGGATCGATAACAATGTACATATTCAGACATGATATATGTTTGCTAAAAATATTAGGCTTTGGGAAATTTTGAATCAAATACACACTTGATTTAAGTATGGAAGTAAGATAAATTGTGCAATAAACTAGGTAGACTCAAACTTATTTCCATAGGATAATAACGTTGAGGATATTAAAAAGATAGAGACAAAACAATTAAAAATATATTCAAATATACTTAAATAAAATATTTTCTACTCTGTCCACCAATGAATGAAAATCATATATTCCACACAATTATCGTATTATGTTATATCTGTTCCAGAATCTTATATTTTCTATTTTTTCGATATCATTCTTTCTAGAACAAGCAAGTAGTTATTCGATCAATCTATCGCTCCGTACAAGGCATTTGGCTCACCCTGTCTGATCGAACACTGGGTGCATCAAAATGCTTTTCTTTTAAGTCAAACATCTGCTATATCGCTTTTATTTAGGTGCCTTCTTTTACACCGGCTTATTGCATTTGAGGGAAAAAAGTAGCAATTATATCAGTCTTTGGGGTATTATTATATATAATCAATAGTAGGTTCTTAAATGGAAAGGATGCACTCTTCCGCCAAAAAATTGCAAAGGGTATTATCCTCGCGTGAAATACGAAAAACTTTTGTGGATTTTTTCATTAACAATCATGGACATAAATTTGTGCGCTCTAGTCCGGTGGTGCCTTTTTGCGATCCAACTGTATCATTTGTAAATGCTGGAATGAACCAGGTAATAAATATCATATATAAACTATGCCTAGTATTATTATTATTATTATTATTACCGTTTTCTTGTTTCTTAGTTTAAATCTGTGTTCCTGGGCAAAACGCAGCCACCCCACAAAAGAGTTACAAATTTCCAGAAATGTGTGCGGGTTGGTGGCAAACATAACGATCTGTCAGTGGTTGGCGGGGATGGCTACCATCATACGTTTTTTGAGATGTTAGGGAATTGGTCCTTTGGCGATTATTTTAAGGTTGATAGCTCGATTGGAGTATAACAAGGTGATAAATTATAAATATGTTTTATTTATAGCGTGAGGCTTGTGCAATGGCTTTAGAATTGCTGCAAGGTCCCTATAAAATAGATCCATCTAGATTATATGTCACATACTTTGCAGGCGATAAAGTTTTGGGTTTGCCGGCAGATCTGGAATGTGTTGATATCTGGAGAAGTCTAGGGTATATTAGACAACTAAATACTCCCAATTATGAAACTAAATGATTTCCTTTGTAGTTTTCCCAACTCTCGAATACTGTCATTCGGTAGTAAAGACAACTTTTGGGAAATGGGCTTGACCGGACCTTGTGGGCCTTGCACAGAAATACACATAGATCATCGTCCAGATTTAGCCAGTTCCGAAGATCGAGCTAAACTGGTAAATGCTGGTCGTTCTGATTTAACGGAATTGTGGAATTTGGTATTTATACAATATAATAGGTAGATATATCAATGCTAAAAATATTTGCACAAGCATTATTGTATATATAGTATAGCTAATGCATTTTTTGTGTATCTTATTTTTTAAAGAAATGAAGATGGTTCTATTACGCAATTACCCTCGCATCATGTTGACACTGGTATGGGCTTTGAAAGACTTACAGCAATTTTACAAAATAAATCGTCAAACTATGATACTGATCTATTTATGCCAATTTTCAATACCATTCAAAAGGCAAGTCAAGGGATAAAGTTATCAAAATTGAAAACATAATTATATAATTTATCATTAATAGGTATCAAAAGCTCCCCAGTATACAGGTTGTTTTCCAACTAGCAGCGATAGTGCAACATTAGATACAGGCTATAGAATTTTAGCTGACCATGCCAGAATGATAACCGTATGCTTGGCTGATGGTATGCTGCCAGATCAAAAGTAAGTCATGGAAGTAGTTCTAGTCTCGATATAAAAGGCTAATAAAAAATTATAATTTTTTATTTAGTCAAAAACTGAGACGTGTTCTGCGAAAAGCCATAACAATATCGGAAAATATTTTCGTCCATGAAAATTTGTTACATCATCTTGTGCCTATTGTTGCTGAGACACTGGGTTCCGCCTATCCAGAAATACAAAATAAACAAAACGACATATTGGAACTAATCAAGCATGAACAGGAAGTTTTCAAAAGTGTGAGAGAAAATTCTGCAAAGGCATTTAATGAGGTCTTAAGTGAATATCCCGATTTAGAGGATGTCGACTTAATGGAATGTCCTGGTTTTGTACCGGCATATCGTGAATTCAAATCTGTAAAACATACATTTAAAAATAATTCAATTCCTGGTGATTTTCTATATAAGTTATCCGATACCTATGGTCTAACAGAGGAGAATTTTATGAAATTAGCCCAACTGGAAGATATGACATATGATACAGATGGATATAAACAAGCTGTGGCAAATGCAAAACAAAAGGCGAAAAACTCAATGACCTTAAATGAACAAACGGCCATCAATTACAAGAATATAGAAAAGGCATTAGCAGAACTGACCAAATCTTTACCAGCCACAGAAAATAACCACAAATATTCGTATACCTATAACCTCGAGGATAAGAAGTATATAATACCCGAATTAAAATCAAAGGTTTTAGGAATTTTATACAATGATGTTAGTGTAAATGAGGTGGTGTGCAATGGCGGTACCTCTGATACCAATGATATTGTTTCCATTATAACAGACGCAAGTAATTTCTATTATGAATCGGGTGGCCAGCAATCGGATAGAGGTCGTATTATTGTAAAGGTGTCAAATAACGAAAATTTAGAACTTAAAGTTGTAAATGTACTCTGTATAAATGATTGTGTGGTGCACATGTGTGAATTGCCAAAGGAAAGATTACAATTTACATTGGCTACCGGTGATAATGTGGTACTTCAAATTGATGAAAATCATCGTAAGCGGAATATATGCCATCATACAGGTAATTAAAAATTGAAGAATATGAATTCGTTTAATTTCAATGACAACATTTCCTCTCTTATTTTTAGCTACACATTTATTAAATGGTGCTGTGAGAGCTTTATTTAATAAAGTCACATATCAGGTATCTAGTTCAGTTACCAGTGATTGTTGTAAACTCGAAGTTGGATTAATAGGAAAACGTATAACCAAGGATGATGTTGCAAAAATTGAGGAGTTAATAAGGTATTTTAAAAATATTTTACTGCTCGAATTTACAATTTCTTTAATAAATTTTTTTGAAAATCTCTAGTCAAATTATTTCTTCGGCTTCACCAGTGAATGTTGAACTCTGTAATGCCTCACATATTTTACAACAAAATGATGTGACAATGGTACCGGGCGAAGTATATCCTGAAACTGGTCTCCGTTTGGTAACTATTAATTGTGATAATTTTGATTTAAAATCAAAAGAGCTGTGCTGTGGAACACACGTTACAAACACCAAGGAATTAGAACAATTTGCCATAACCAACCTCAAACAAACTAACCGTGCCAGATATGCCTTTACAGCGGTGGCTGGAGAGGCGGCTGATAAGGTACATTATTTATCCCAATTTATATATGTACACATTTACATAGACGTTGATGTCATTACAGGTCCACAAAGTAAGTCAATTGCTGAAACATCGCATCGATTTGTTGGAGAAAGAATTCAAGACTGATAAAATGTCCAATGCTACCGAAGTGGAATTACAAAAGATACGACATAATCTACTTCATACGGATATACAATTGCCATATGTTTTTAAAATGGACATTTTGGAGAGGATAAATGATATACTGAAACGTCTTAAAGAATCTGCCAGAACAAATATAAAGTATGTAATTTAATATATAAAATTATTTATATATTTTATGTTCCGTTTATATTATTTCAGAGACTTTTTAGATGTCGAAATGCGTAATCTGTTACAAGAAAAGCCCGCATCGACGCATCCCTATTTAGTGCATTATATATCCAGTTCCGTTTTAATGGAAGAGGTACCACTACAAAAGGCCACCAAACACTGTACAGATCGTCCTATACTGGTCATAGCTAGAGCCGATGGTGTTGTGAAAGCAAGATGTTGTGTACCCAAGGTAATTAAAATTTTAAATAATTTTGAATATGAAATATTGAATCATATTTTGTTATGACTTTAAATAATATACATTTATTTTTTTTCTTAATAAATCACAGCAATTTCAGACGGAAGAATTTAATGCCGAAAAATGGTTGAAAGAATTTGCCACTGTCTTTAAAGCACAGGTATCCGCACCAAAAGGTCAAAATCCCCATGACGTTTGCAATATGAAAGGCAAGAAAACATCAACACAATTCGAGGAACAACTAGAAATAGCTATGCAAAAAGCCAATAATTATGCTGAGCAATATTGGAGAAAATAGTGTATGAAAAGCGTTATTTAGTTTCTAAGATATTTCATTCTTAATTACTTTTTATTTTTTTTTTTGTTAAATTGTATCAAATTTTATTAATATAAAATCTTCTGATATAATGTACAATTCGTTTTCGTTTGTTTCCTACAATAAATTCGCAATCATGATAATTTGTCATGCGTATTTCCTACGTAAGTGGCCTTTTTAAAGGACTTTCCTTCGTTAAAAGCACTCTCTTTGAGAAGAGAATTCTTCACTCTAAAACATCAGAATAAATATTCAATTAATTTATTATTATTGTAAAGTAATTTAAATATTTTATTAGTACATAATAGGAAAACTAAATATTACTACTTAAAATTACAACACTACGTGTTCTACAACTTAATATATTACCAAAGGCTGTGGAACTTATCCTCGAAAATCTGGATCATTGTGTTCATCTTCATAGTCATCCTCATCGTCATCATCATCTGGAAAATAAAATTCACAACAATTATTTGAAAAATATTGTACAATTAAAACAAAATTATTTATAAACTCACCATGATCACCACGTCGTTTGCGAGCATATGCTCGTTTGGAGCTAACCGGAGCCTGATCAGTTTCTCCGTGAACCAAAGAATTACGATATAAAAATAATGGCTGATATTCCTCTTGTTTACTAGAAGGCAACGCGGGTGAAATACGACGATCCAAAAAGTTTAAAATCACTTTTTTATCTTGTTTCAACAGTTTGTGATTGAATTCATTTAACACCTCTAAGAATAGTAAACGTTTGGGTGCAGCCACTGGATCTTCAGGCACTTCACCAACTGCAAATAATATACCAGCACGATGTAAAGCAATAATGGGTTCACGATTTTTGATAGCATCGAAGCCAAAGGTCAAAGCAAACCGTTTTGCCAACTCTTTAAGTTCGCTGAATTCATGAGAGTTCTTGGAGACCAATTCATTTTCCGACTGACTCTGTAGATCTTTGAAAACAGCAATGAGACTCAAAAGTAACGTCAATGCAAAATTAATTTTATTAATCTCTCTCGCCTTGCCCAAGGTGGCCTTGATGATATCGCCATATTCATTGTACCACTGCAAAATAATAAAAGTGATTGTGAGGAATCTGCTACACCCTAAATGAATTAAGTTGAAACTTACCTTAACATAATTTTTAAACATTCCCGCCGCACTCTTTGTTGGTATTATATTGTAAACCACCAGTTTGCAGTATGACGCCAAGAAGTTACGCTTCTTGTGTAATTCCATTATGCGAGTCTCGTCCTGAAGATCTGCGGAAATAGAATCTGCATTGAGTTACAAACTATAATTATCGTAATTATCGTAAATGTATTACCTTCTTGTCTTATCGTAAAGACATAATGTTGTACGAAATTATTCAATACCAATTGCTCATCCAATGTTGATTTGTATTCCAGCGTGCGAACATTAGGATTTTCATTACGGGCTAATTGATCGGAAAATATTATCAAGAGATCACAGATTGATTGATAAGCCTGTAGTTGAGAAAATAAAAGAAACAATTTTTTAAAATGTTGCAAAAAACAATTTAAGATAATGAAATTGTGTTAGAAATAAGGGCCTCTATATTAGTAAACCTTAATTTCAAATTTAGACATTAATTTTAAAATAGAAAATAGTAAATGGGCTTCATATTTAGAAAAATAATAACAGAAAAGTACTCACCGCTTCCTGAACATCATCTGTGGGTCCATCTCGTGTCAATTCAAAACAGGCAAACATATATTTATCCAAATTTGTACGTAGCTCCTTAACAGAAGATTCTACTTGTGACGATTCACACATATTTTCTACATAGTATAGACCCCAACTTATCGAAAAATAACAGGCCTCAATACAATACACCAAGGCTTCATTGGGAATGTTACGACCAGGATTTTCTTTTGCCTGACACTCATCCACATCTTGGAATAGAGAATCAAACAGATTCCACGGATTCATATTATGCGATGAATAAAGTATCGATACAACTTTCAGCGAACTTATAACATTGTAAATGTCATCTTCATTGGGTAATTCCTCGCCTGTAAAAATACACACGCACACATATTAACAAAAATAATTACAAACACATCAATGAGGAATTTGAACTTACCCGCAATTAAATTACGCCAATCTTCAATGGCATCCTTATATTTATTAACAGCATTATCAATAATATTAGAGCGTGCAACATCACAGCGCGTATATGTGGCACTGCCCTCGGTACACAAATATTCCAATGTCTTGGCACATGTTTCCAAAACATCACGATCCGTATGTACGGACATAATATAGCTCATTTTATCCAATAGCGATTGCAAATTAGCCTCTTGACGATTGGTGGTGTAAATATCCAATTCAAAATATTGTGGTATTGATAATAAATTTGCCAACTTTTCACTGTCCGCTTGATATTTTTCCAGCAAGGGTGGTAGTGTTACAATAAAATGTTCCGTTAATCGTACCTTTTCATCTTGTATGGCTTTTAATTCTTTGGAATTGAGGTAAATTTTTCGATTGCTGGCTCGTCCAACTGGTGCCTCACCAGTTGCTGCTTGTTTTACACTGCTAACCATAATTTCAATCAGAGTCGACTCTTGTTTGTTGTCTAAGACCTCTTCATTATAACCCGGTTCCTCCAGCAGCAAATCCGTCATACATTCCCAATCTTTAACCATTGGATTATTGTCCATAAAGGAATCTACCAGATAAGCACCATGTTCATGTAATTCCGATTCAATCATAAATTGCACCAAATCACGTATTAGTGGAGTATTTGGTAAACGAAGTTTGCCTCGTTTTGATTTTGTCTCTTCCATGTCAGCAGTTAAATGAAACAGGCGTACATTAAGAAATTCAGCAGCTGCCTGGGCAACACCTCGATGGGATGAATACACCAACTCATAGACAATTTCACAGTCCTTATCAGCCAATATATCCGGATGGATCCTATAAAATGAAAATACCATTAAAAAGAAATATACCAAAGATCCATATGTGCCATTAAATACTTACTTTAAAATACTTATAACCAATTTGACAGCATGTACGGCAACCTCAAATTCCTTGTCTAGAGTCATGGCAACAATACGATCTTTGAATTTTGAGGTGAATAATTCTAATTTACTTTTAAGTTCCTCCTTATCATAAAGGGGTAACAGGGCCTGCAGACAACGCAAGCGTACCTCGCCCACCTTGTCATGTAGTGTCCAACCAATGTATTTGAGATATGAATCATCCAAGAAATTTTGTGGATAATTTTCCATCCAAACACCTATTTCGGCCATACAAATTGCTCTTATATCCGGCAATGTGTCACTAAGAGATAAAAATATATTATTAATTATAGTAAGACTTTAAATAAATGAAAACACCTACCGATAACGATGTACAAAAACAGACTTAAACATATAGGTTAACATATTTTTTATTTCATCCATGTTCTCTTCAAGTTCAGCTCTTTTCGCCATTAGAGATTCCAAGCGATCCGATGCTCGACGATCACGAGACTGCAAACAAAATATATGAAGATGATTTATTATACTCAAATAATAGTAATGTGGAAATTTACCTTGAGTCGCTCTGCCTCATATTGTTTGGCTGCATTTTCAAAATTATTTGATACCAACAGGGCAACATCCACTAAAGCAGTCATAAGCTTCATGGCAGCCAATGTAGCTGTGTGTCTGAAAGCTCGAACTTGAGAATCTGACAAACCAGTTAGCAATGAAATGACATTATCCATCAGAAACTGATCATAAATAATGGAATACTGGCATTGTTTGACCAAGGTTTGTACAAAATCGCAAAAATTCATTTTGAATTTTTTCCACTGTTGACCGGGGATTATTAGGGGATATTCACCACTTTCCTGGAATAAAACAAAAAATGTGTAAGACTGCAAAGTAATGCATAGCAACAACACTTCATCTTACCTCATCAAACTCCTCTGTCATTTTTCTTATAACAGCTGTATGATCCATGGGATGTTCGGTGTCCTCTGGTATTTTACCCTTGCAACCACTGGCGTTAATGAAAAATTGCAACAACGCAATTAGCGCGGTATCCCTATTCACTTTGTATTGTTCAATCCAATCATCGACAATGTTCATAATGGGCGACTTGGAATGTCGTACTATGAAATACAAGCTATTCTCATCTGTTGTTACATCGCGTTCCATGTCAATGCGTTCTTGTTCCTTGTCAATATGTTCCTTGCGTTGACGCTCGGTCTTTTCACGACGTTCACCTGGTGGCTTCTTGGGCTTTTCCGGTTTCTTCTTGCGTACCACAGGAGCCCAAAAATCATCCTCATCTTCGTCAATAATTGGAGGTTTGTCACGAACGCCACCACGGGCACGCAACCTTGTCATGCGTTTTGTGGGACTATCTCCATCCGAAATAGAATCATTTACATTTTCTCTAAAAAACGATTTGTATTTAATTGAATTCAAATATAAATTAAAACTGCAAGCTACCCTTGCTCGTCATATTCCGGCGGGATATCATCCATTCTGATGCGCTTTCCTCCGCGTCTGGCCATCATGGTGAAGATTTTTTATTTTTTCAATTATCGGTAGTTTTGCAATTGTTTGTGAAGAAAAGCTGTAGTAGGGGAATAATTAGTACTTTAATGCCAATATTTATAGTTATTACATTCCGCAACACGAATTAAAACAATTATTCCTCTGGATCTGAAATAAAGCTGCGGAAAAATAAAATTGTGTATATTGTGTATATTTGTCCACAAAACGAACTATAGATCCCACAACAAACTGCAGCCGAGTGTAGGGATCTATAGTTCGTTTATCGATCAGTCGATTACATGTCGTGAACACTGTCGATAGCAATTATTAACAAGACAGATTTGAACGGGGTACATTCTATTACATTTGAATGAAAGTTTGGTCCATGGCACAATGAATAGGTAGTCCATTTAGCGCAGCTGATGCGTTGATTAACTGTCAAAGTGGGTAATTTCTACTTGAATTCGATGTGCAGTGTTACCAACCATTTGGAATATTATATGGAAAAATTTGACAGATAATCGAGACAAAAACAAAGGTTTTTGTTTTGATACATCACCTTATTATTGCATCATGGGTAGTCCATTTATCGCAGCTGATGTCTTGATTAACTGTCAAAGTGGGTAATTTCTACTTGAATTCGATGTGCAGCATTGCCAACCATTTGAAATATTATATGGATAAATGTGACAGATAATCGACACAAAAACAAAGCTTTTTTTTGATACATCACTTTATTATTGCATCATGGTTGGTCAAAATTCTGCTTGTTTGGATTTTTAATTTTGGTCCGACCAGTTGGATATAAGCTGCCCCTCAAGTTTGCTATAAAAATCCATAATTATGCATTGACTTCCTTTATAAAAATTTTCCAAATTTTTGACATTAGACTTGAGAAAACCGTTGACTTTCGCTTGCTGCGTGGCCTTATAAACTCATTTGGCGCCACCGTCCTTTTAAAAGAAAACAGCTACTAGAAAACAACCGTTATTCAAGGGGTTTTATACGTTATTTTATTTCATTAATTGTTGTAATATCATAATTTCTTTTATTTGTTTTTATAATAACAGTTTTAATAACAGTTTTACAATCTTTCTTTTAGAAATTCTGTAAATAATAAATTAAAAATCTAAATGAATAACTTAAATACTGTAAGTATTAGGATACATAATCTATATAAATCTTCATTAATGAGAACGTGCTATATCCGAAAAGAAATTAAGAATATCTTGTATGTTAAATTCCAATGTTATCATCGAACCGGCATAACATTTTTGTATACGTTCCTCCAAGAATTTATACTGGACAATAAACTCTTCCTGCATTGCATGCCAAACAACCTGCAGAAGATTCTCCTCCTCGCATAGATGTTTCTCAACCTTTTTGTAGAGGTTCTCCATACCCTTTTTCACTTCACGGGCTGGATATTGGCTGATAACTTTGCGCAGCTCTTGTTTTGAAAATGCCATTTGATAACTGATTTCGGTTTCCTTTACACCTTGGGCGATTTTCTGTTGAACACCCTCGAAAAATTGCTAAAAAAATAAGAATAAAAAAAATCAATAATACTTATTTTGTCTGATGGTTTTCTCTGTTCCAACTTACATTTAACTTCTCCAACGGCCTGCCAAAGTAACAAATAACGTAATTGCTTAAGGCTTCATTATAACGTGCCTTCGCTTCCTTCTTCAATTCATCCAAAGTGGGCACTTTAAGACGAGCCAGCAGCGAATACATATGATGATAATTTTCCATACGAATCACTTGTAATGGTGTCTTGGGATGTTCCTTGGAATGAGTATTGATGCCATCGAATATGGCATTTATAAGTTGTATATATTTTTCCATATCTGTGCGCCGTGTGGATTTACGGAAGAAATCTTCGGTTGTTTGTGAAAAATACTCGAAATTCTCTACATATGGTAAAATACCACATTTCGAACGTTTGGGTAATTTTGCATCGCGAATAGATTGTAATTGTTGTTGCATAAAGCGATCGAAATTCCGTTTGACCTGTACAAGTACCGAGGCAAAAGTCATGCTTAAAAAGGAATGTGTATCTTGGGCGGACATGACATGTTGTGTTAAACGATCCAAAACATAAAGGGAGTAGCTGAAAAAAAAAACAAACACACACAAAATATTAGCATTTTTCATTTTTAATTTGTATAGACGTGAATATCAATTTAAATTTTTCACTTCCAATTATTTACACTTACAAACAATCAAAGCGTTCAAAACTTTGTATAAAATTAACCAATTCCTGTTCTAAACATCCAAAGAGAGCATTCATAAGCCGACGAACTTCTTCATTAATTTGCCGATCAATTTTCTTTTGAGGAAATTGAGCACCTGCAAAATACAAAAACAACTCATTACAATTTTTATAGACACAAAAGCATTGATAGAGTTATACCATCCCCGGCTCCTGAAACTGAAGACGGCGACAAAAGTATTGACTGTGACATATCTGAACTCTTTTCCATAACATCTACGCCAGCAGATTTGGCTGTTGGACTTAGTACATCCATTTGGAAGAAATGTATGCAGAACTTTTGCTCTTGTAATGCTACAGGTTCCAATTCTGCTAATACCTTTTCCAATACGGTATCAAAACGTTCTCTGTCCGCGGCATCAACACCAGGTCCCCATTGTTCTCTATTAACACCCAATGTTCCATGAGGAACCGAAGACAGCGCATTTTTCTTTGAAATCGATGATGATGAAACGTCCAAGTCTTCACGCGAATTGCGAAGCTTTTCAGAAATTTGAAGTTTAGCCTATAAAAAGGGTATTAGTATTGATACATTTTTTTACATTTTAATTTTGTATTGACAAAGTTTACCAAATTGAAAAAATTCCTTATATCGCGTTCATAGATTTTACTAAAGGCTGTGGTATACACTGTTGTCAAACCCTCATATTTAGTTCTGTCCATAGCCTTGATCCAATGCATCAGTTCAGTATAAGGCATTAGTTCTTGATGTACCGAAGCATGATTTGGCAGAACTAATTCTGTGCTAGATGGCGGTGTATCACCAATTTGATTCGACAAGTGTATTAACAAACAGTTCAAATGTTTGATGACGGGCAATAAAAAGTTTTTCTTCCAACTTTCGAAACGTTTCATTTGGTCACGTACTGCTGCCAAACGTTGCAATGACGGATCTATGTCGCTGTTCAGAGCCTGCTGTAGCCATTGTGCAGCTTCAATGGCTGCCTTGCGTCCTTCGGGTGTACTTAAAACTGGAGATTGTAAAACTCGTTGAAAATCCGGAGGAAAATCCAGTTGAGTCTATAGGAAATAGTAGTTTAAATTATAGAACACTAATGGAAAGTGCTACCAAACATTTATACTTACAATTATTTTGCTCAAATCTTCTTTCAGTTTTATATTATTGTTGTTGGCTATTTTAATCATAGCATTTTTGCCACCAATTTTCTCCATGGTTTCTTTTACATGACTTAAGATCTCTTCATATGAATCTAAACGTTCTTCAAATTTGTCAGCTTCCCCGATTGCTTTGTCGATGTGTTCCATAAGCATCATTACTTGTTTTTCAGATGCCAAAACGGATTGAATATTTGCCTAGGGTATGAAAGACTCAGCTATAATTTATTTATGATAAGTAGACCTCGGATTTTGTATATTTGCATATTTTTTAATAATGAAGATATCGAAATTCTGATTGGACACAAATTCGTTTCAAAGGATTTAGAATTATTTGAAGGGTTCATATTTTTTAATTTTTTGCATATTTGCATATTTTGCATATGCACGAGATATGCAAAAAATATGCAAAATATGCAAAAAATATGCAAAATATGCAAAAAACATGCAAAATATGCAAAAAATATGCAAAATATGCAAAAAATATGCAAAATATGCAAAATATGCTAGGTCGATATGCAATAAATATGCAAAATATATGCATAAAATATGCAAAATATGCAAAAATATGCAAAATATATGCTAAAATATGCAAAATATTCAAAAAATATGCACGGTATGCTAGGTCGATATGCGATAAATATGCAAAATATCTGCAAGAATATGCAAAAAATATGCACGGTATGCTAGGTCGATATGCGAGAAATATGCAAAAAATATGAAAAATATAGGCAAAAATATGCAAAATATGTGCAAATATGAGCAACATATTTCACATATGCAATCATTTTAATCAAAAAAAAAAAAAAAAAAAAAAAAGCATGGTAGTTTTCGAATTTGTGTGCGTTCTTTATTTTTAACCTATAGAAATCTAATTGTGTATGTATGCGTTTCATGGTTCAACTGTTAGATTTTTGGGGCATTATGAAAAATTTGCTAAATATATGTATAAAACATGCAAACATATATAACCGTTATATGGCGATATACTAAAACGTGGACCGATATATCCCATTTCCAATACCAAACATCCTAGGAGTAATAATAATATATGTGCAAAATTTCAAAGTTCTATCTTTAATATTGCGACCTAGCATACCGTGCATATTTTTTGCATAATTTGCATATTTTTGCATATTTTGCATATTTTTGCATATTTTGCATATATTTTGCATATGTTTGCATATTTTGCATATATTTTGCATATTTTTGCATATTTTGCATATGTTTGCATATTTTACATATTTTGCATATGTTTGCATATTTTGCATATTTTTGCATATTTTGCATATCGACAATGCATATTTTGTATATTTTTTGCACATATTTATCGCATATCGACCTAGCATACCGTGCATATTTTTTGCATATTTTGCATATTTTGCATATTTTTTGCATATATTTTGCATATTTTTTGCATATATTTTGCATATTTTTGACATGACCCCAAATATCGATCAATTAAAGCATGAAACGCCTAAATACAAAATTTGAGTCCAATCGGATAAAGCATAAAAAATATGCAAAAATCCGAGGTCTAATGATAAGTAATACATGACACTATAAGTGAACATCGAAGATTCTCCTCATAATTTAAGGTCTTATTTTAATTTTGAATATTCTGCTAAGAATCTAATAGAAAAATCCATTCATGCAATAAAAATAGACAACATTTAATAATGCCCCTATGAATATGTGGGACATTATGTGTCTCTATGAATACGTGGGACACATGCCTTGGTTAATATATATTCCCATTTCAACTTACCCCATCCAAATCATGCAATTCCTTGGATAGTTTTTCAATCAACAGTTCGGCGTCTTTTACCGCATAATCACATTCCGTAAAGAGTTTTGTCAATTCGTTAGATTCCTTATCTGTCAAAGCAGTAAACTCTTGGAATTCCGATTCTTCCTCATCCTCGGTTTCAGCACCATTTTTCCGTAGTCCATCTCGATTGCCCCCACCTGCAGAACCAGCTGCACCACTACCTCCACCACCACCCGCTCCCCCTATTTTCTCCGGCGACTTATCCAGAAGCCAAGCACTTGGTATATTACGGAATTCTGCCTTAACTCCACGTCCACGACCATGCTTTTGCACTTGCTTATAAAGAACAGCCAAAAAATTCTGCCTTTCGTGCAAATTCAATGCATACCATTTATATAGCTTCTCCACCTGGATATCGAATTCGTGAATATCGAACTGTTCACTGCGTCCATCCACCCACTTGATTTCATCCAATTGCCAGATGCGTTTCTTTTTGAATTCGCTATCCTTTTGCTCGGCCTGCTTGACCAGGCACATTGTGACAATTGGAACTGGCGGTGGTGTCGTCACCACACAAAGATAACAAATTCGTTTCTTTTTAAAGGTTTTTGTCACCGAAACCGATGTGAGTAAACGTTCGCCGCACCCATTGAATAGTTCCTTTTGTAGGGTATGTTTAATATTGGCTAAGGAGCCAATTGACAACATATTGGTTGGTTTCGTTGTATGCTCAGTTGGTGAATCCCTTGGACATTAGTTTCCCGTATGTCCAATGTTTTTTTTTTTTTTGTCTTCAATTGTCGGAATTGGTGGAACAATAATACAATACGCCTCCTGAGGTAGGGATTTATAAATCGAATATGGGCTATTCGACTATTCAAGGCTCATTTAAGAAGTCTATAGACAGTAATCGAAAACTGATTGAATATTTTTTTACTGATTCATCAATTCAAAATCGAAAGAATTAGGATAGCACGGGTAATATTATCTGGTCTTCTTCTGCTCTATTCATCATGCATTTACGAAAATATAGATAAACTATTATTCAGGTTTATTGTCAAAATGTATTAATTTGACATTGGTCTGTTAATGTACTTCAGGAATCTAAAGGAACAAAAGTTCCTTTATATGATATCCTGCAGTACGGAAACATACCATTAGACTTGTGCAATAGGTAAAGGATTCGCTATTGGTGGGTTGGTTTAAAATAATTGGTCTGTTCCCGTAACCAAAATGTTGTAAAGCGTTCAAATTAACAATTTCAGAAGATGCTTATAGTTTCTGGCAAATACATACTATTCTAATAAGAAATTTGAATTTATAAATAATATAATTTATTATATACAAAATACATTTATCACATAATATCAATTATCTAATCACTTAAAAGAATACATCCATCATCATCATCATCAGTATTCTGATTGTCGCTTGTGTCACGCTTAGCTAAACTTGTTTCCATGAGCTTTTCAAATACATCTTCATTCTCGGTTTGGAAACTACTATTAAAGAAATAACTAACTCCATTGGCATCATCCGTTTCACTCTGAACGATACTATTGTTTGTATTGAAATTTAAACTTATTCGTTGTTTTTGCTTGAAACGATCCACCACGTTTAGGGGTTTACTTGAAATATCTGCAAGATTTTCTGTAGATATTTTAAATTCTTTAATTTTTTCCACTCTATTGGTTCCAATTTTAACTAAAACATCGAAACTATCATCCAACGACCTGCGTTTTGCTTCGGCATTTGTGGATTTCTGAAAGGATATGGATAAAACGCGTTTTTCACACAATACATCTGTATCATCTATACAGGGCTTTGTTTGTAGATGGCTGGTATTCCCTAGCGTGATTGAATTATTAAGTTCATTTAGTAAAAGGCTAATATCTTTAGGCATAGCTTCGTATTGTAATTGTCGTCCTTGATGGGTGGTCAAAACAAGTCCAGCATGATCTTTCGCCACAATACCATTTACAATGTCCGAAAGATTAAAAGCATTCGGGTCTTCATCATCGTCACTTTCTAAATCCGAAGGAACACTTTTGGTAAGAGGAGTTGAACTTTGATTCTTGGGTACAGATAATTTGTCTCTCGTCTTCAAAGGAGTTACACTGGTTTGTTTGAAATATTTATCAATTGATTGCATTCCTTGTATTGCAGTAGATTTAGGTTTGGTTTGACGTTTGGGCTTTACCGTTTTCGATACTTCATTTGTGGCCTTTATTAAATCATCCAGATTCTCCAATGAACTTAATGGTTTTGCTTTGTTTCTAGGCTTTTTGGCGGCTTTCTTGGGTTTCTCTTTCGACTTTAGAAATGCCTCCACCTGTTCGGGAAATGCCGTTTCCATCATACTCATTGGTTCAACCGTTGTCCAAAGATCAGTAATACCTTTGGGATTTTCCGATTCGAAGTCTTGCAATTGGACATCCGGTACAAGTCCACTAAAAATACCCTTTTCATCATGCCAAACAATTTCTAAACTGGGTATACTTTTTACCACTCTCTTCTTTACAATTTCTTTCGGAACAATGTAAACAACTGCCGATGGCATTTCTTTTAATCGGACAGCATTCATAACCTGCCATCGTGTTAAAATCGGAAAGAATTTCTGAAAGCAATAAATTTCTTGCCATTGTAAGAGATGACCTATTTGTTTTATGAATTTGACCATATTGGGTTGTCGCCAACGCAGATCCAATTTGGGAATAGCTTTCGGTTGCTTTAGAAATTCTTCGATTATAGCTTCCGAAGGAAATGTTGGATCGGCCAAAGCTTTTTTTCGTAGTGTCAATTCGGCCTTTATAGATAGTCGTTCTTCTCTGAAAGGTGATATGTTATGGGTAAGTGTATTGCAAGTCAAAGTGATTGGAAAGCATTAAAAAAGTAAATGGACATAAACACAACTACTTACAAAAAAAATATTGAATTTTTATGATAATTGAAAGCTATAGGGCATTTAATGTACTTAGCATGGCACGTACGATTAAAGAAACGTCCATACTTTGAAGGCTTCTACTGAAAAACTCACTTTTCAGACTTAATAGTTCTTTATGTTTTTAGATACTACGGTCCTTAATTTAAATTCACTGAAATTTTGGTAATCATCGGCCAATCCAAGCCAAAGTTATAAGCAAAAATGTACTTAGCATGGCACGTACGATAAAAGAAACGTCCATACTTTGAAAGCTACTGAAAAACTCACTTTTTGGTTCGGAGGCGTCGATATGTGGCCTGTAAAACATTTTCTTTCGACATTTGTCCTAGAATTTGTTTAGGTCTGAGTTTGTTTTTTGAGTTAAAAATTTTGGTATAATGCAATACAAAATTCAAAATATATACCCTCCAAAATATAGTATAGAGCTTTTGTGTGTTAACTAATAATATAAATTAAAAATTACTACTTACTTCCAAAGGCTTTCATCACATCCACGATTGGTACGACAAACACCACATCCACTTTTCGTATGACTTTGGGTTCGTCCCAAGTGCCCGCAATTGGTACATATACTCTTGTCGTCTACTCTCATTTCTAGTGCCGAATATTTGGCATCTTCGTAACGCCAGCAGCGTATCTTATTTAATATTTCATCATTTGTATATTTATTGAATAGTTTAACAACGCTATCACGCCCAATGCCACCAATACCATCTGGGCAATAATCACAACCACATAACAGGGCCATGACAATGACTTTATTTTGTCCAAAATCTACGGTATATATTTAAATGAAACCTACCAACTTTAACAACCATAATTATCATCATACCCATTTTACTACAAATTTGACGCATATCGTAAATATCAACGGCACCACCTTGTGCTGCTAAAGCCCCTTGAGATGATACAGAAAAATTGCGATACACACGCACCGCACCATAAGCAAAGCAGTCGGAATCTTGGCTAATAACACCGTCTACCAACTAGAACATTTCTTTTTAGTCTATATAATCAAGTCCATTCTAAGCGTTACTTACACCCTTTTGATTTAAAAAAGCACAATATGCCTCTGCCTCGCCAGGACCCTGAACACACTGTATGCCCATGGCAGTAAGAAGATTTTCACACTGTTTCAGAACCATATTAAAACGTGATCTTCCTTTCTCACCACCCTTGGATGATTGTGAATTGGTCGGCTGTTGACTTTGCGTGGGTGGTTTGTCCTTGGGCCGAACACCACGAAATTGTATTTCATTACGTTTTTCCATAACCTGACTTTTCAACTTGGGAGCCGTACCTTCCAAAACAAAAACCGGTGTCACTTCTTCCCATATTAAGTAACAAGTTCGAAAAAATAAATTTCTAAAAATAGAGTCAAGCATTAGAAGACTATCAGGAGCTCCGAAATTGGCAAACTTACTTCAGATGATGTCGGGGATGTACAAAATAATCAACAACATTAAGACTCTCACATACCCAACCAGCCAAATCTATGGCAACCGTTTTGCCTCTTAACTCACAGATGGGCTTGCGTTCGGCATGGGGAGTGAGGATTGTCCACAGATCTTTAACACCCATTATCCAGAAGACGTAGGATTTTATATAGGAACTCCAAGCGCCAACCAATTTTGGATTTGTAAACAATACGTATAATATATGTAATTGGCAACACTCTAAACAGCTGTTCTCAATTCGTTGGCAACTATCTTGTGCAAAAAAAAAAGTTGGCAACCTTGCAAACGGCATGGGTTTTGTTTACATTTTATTTTTTTTAATTTATAAATTGGATAGGATTTTTTTAAATTGTATTAAATATTAACAAAGATGGCTGGCCGTGGCAGAGGTGGAAAGACAGGAACATTAACACAAGAACAATTACAGACTCTGGGATGTGTGGGGAAAGATATGCCACAGGTTGCACAGGCACCTCCACCTACATATCCACCATTGATGTCCAAGCCCGTAACACTCGAAGTAAGATGTACGATAATGTATTCCAGACATCTTTTAATATTTCACTATTCCAGACAACGGCATCACAAAACTATCAAATACTTTGGAAAGAGGGTTTCCTTAATCACATGAGGGATTCGGCATATTTCCTACAACCAGTAGAGAAAGCAATAGCTGGCCGTGGAATTTCAAGATATAATCCAAAAACAATGGTAGTATTGAAATAAATTTTTTAATGAACAAAATCTAATTATGTATTTATTGCAGAATGCCGATGAGAGTATAAAACTTAAACCCAGAACAGAATTCAATTGGTCACTGATGCCGGCCGAATTACAAATGGCTAATAAAAAACGTAAAGTGGTTGCCAAGGCAGTTAAACTAAAGAAAGCTAAGCCCAGTAATATAGAAGATCGTCTGAAGGTATTGGAGGAGAAAGAAAAGACCGAAGATGATGTAGATACACCCAATAAAACAAATTCAGATTCCGAGGAGGACATTGAGGAAGAAGTGGGCGAGGATGTGGACGATGAAATGGATGATGACAATGACTATGGAAATGCCTATTTTGATAATGGTGAAGCCTACAATGAAGAAGATGATAATCTTGATGATGGACCTGGGGGGTTACTCTGTATTGCGATGCGTGAGAAAAATTGTAACGCATCACGTAATTGGTACTCTCTAATTCGTTTTCGTATCTCCTTTCGCATCTACTTTACGCAAATGTGGCATCACCGCACTCTGTAATACGAAAACGCATGTCAAACTCGTTCGTTAAGCGCAAATATCTTGCGTTAACAAAATAGCAAACGCAAAGGAAGCGAAACATATAAGTAAGCTCAATTAAAGGTTTTATTTATATATAAATTGTAAATTATTTTAAGTAAAAGGCAAAAAAGTCACAGTGGCAGACTCAGCAACGTCAGTTCCTAACTTCAGTAGATTTTATGGGGCAACACAGTGATTTGGCAAAGGGACAGTTGCAGAGTTCAAATTCGAAACAACGCGCCAACAATTTGTGGACAAAACTGTCTGATGGCCTCAGTTCAAATTGACCTCCTGTAAAAGATGTCGATTGTTGGAAAAAGTAATGTATTATATTTTTATATAATATGTGAAACTATGTGTGCATATTTACAGGTTGGTGTTGATAACCACCTTGTCCAAGCAATTTCAAAGCAGCGGCCTCTTTTATTGGAGTTGGAATTGTTGTGGATCTATTTGTGAAAGACGAGCGTTTAATAAATACATAAACGAATCTTTATTGAGACGAACATGTTGTATAAATCTATAAAAATTAAATATTTGAAAACGTTTGTCACATAATTCGTACTTCAATTTTAATACCCGTGGTCACTTAGGGAGATTATTTGATCGATCTCATAAAATTCTTTTTTTGTTTTTAATTCGTTCATCATTTTTGTTTCAAAAAATACTCGTACCACACAAAAAATATGTTTTTATTTAAATTTTTTTGACGTTTCCTTTTGTCATTCTTCGTTGTTGTTTACTTTGTGGCGACAGTGTTGCCCTATTTTCGATTTAGTTTGCGAATGCGTGTGAGCGAGCGTTACAGAGTACCAAATTGTACTTTTAACGCATTTAGCTTTCGCATCGCACTTGCTTTCGCAACGCAATACAGAGTAACCCCCCTGTATATTAAGAAATACAAATACTACTTAGATACTATAGTCGGTATAAAATGTACAAATAAAAAAATGCTACTTCGTTTTGTTTTGTTTATTTATTTTTTAATAACGTGTCTCCACAGTTATTTGATTAAGAGAATGTTACTATTTAAACACACATAACTTTACAATAAAATTATTTAATCGGTAGATTCTGGGGGGCTGTAGTTCAAGTGAATGATGCCGGTAGTTTTAACCTGTAATTGAAAGTAGAAAATGTAAGAATAAAATTTGAAGGAGAGAATAAGTGAAAATCCTTACCAAGGCAATGGTGCCAACCAAAGCAGCAATACCAGCGGCCAAGACAGCATTGTATTTGGAGTTTTGGCGGGTGTGGTGTTCCTTCCAGTCACCTTGTGGCACGGGCAAATCATCCATGGTTACTTTAACGCCACTACCGTGGTAGGATGCACGGGACAAGGCACCAGCTGAAAAGTAAATCGTGACATTTTAGTGTAAAAGCTACATTGGATTGCATATTTATTTTAGGTTATTTAAACAAATCTATGGATAAGAAGAAATAATAAAGAATCTAAAGAGGAAACACATTAAAGAATGACCTATTAAGTTGGATTTATTTTTAATTTATATTTAAAATATTGGGCCATTACAACAATTTATTATTATAAATTCTGCATGATAAATTACGAAAGTGTTCTATAAAACTGAAGATTAACTCCTTAATAAATAAAATATATGGGAAATAAAGTCCTTGGCCTGTAAAATTAAAGCATTTCGCAAAATCTCAATTTAAATTATTAAGAAATTTTAGGCTTTCAGCTCAGGGCCGATCCGATACTTAATTGTGTATATAAATATAATTTCAAATATCTAGTGATAGTTATAGTAGAAGAAAGATACGCGATGGGACCCTTTTAATTTACTTCACCAAAAATTTTTGGGCTAATGTTTCCTCAAAAAGCTATTAGGCTAGGACTGATTGGGGTATTTAACTAGCTTTCAGAGAGTACGGCCGAATATTGCTGATATGGACATGTATGCGACTAATGTGGTTTAAAAATGCATTTAAATTAGTTGATGTTACATGCAGAGCAGCAAACATTATCACTTGATGAAAAATCAACAGTTTACGATAAATTTCTGCAGTTACACAACTGCCAAAATGTTGACTATTGTTTGAAACTTTTTTGCGTTATCGATCTGATGGTATACTATGAGACGCTTTCTCCACAATTACACTGCAGCTAATAAATAGATCGCCTTTCGTATCATCAAGATGGTTTCTCAACTAGGTATACAATTCCCCTAATAAATTATACTAACAATTTTGTAGGTCAATTGGACTCACTAACAACTGCACCAAATTATGTAAATCACTGTGGAATAAACTGGATAAAGGGCATATAAAGTGCATATATGTACCTGCAAAATGAAGTATGTATTGAACTTTTTGGAACTCCTTGTGATGTATTTTGACTGCTTCAATTACCGTGACGTCATAAAACATACAAGGGAAATATTTATGCAAGTAAATTGATATGATATAAAAATTGCCTATATCAGTAGATAATTTTTTTGAACGATATGGTTTAGTGGCCACGGGGAAATAAGACAACATTGAGGCATACCACATCCATCATGTCATATCTGAGATACAAGGGGATTGTCTTCTGCGAATGCTTCCGAATGGTTAACAATTTCATTTAACTACAAAAAATAAGTTGAATTCCCATTTTTTATTTATGAAATTGACACTATGTTGTCCGAAAACTCTTTTTCATGTTTTAATAATCGCAGCCGCGACGGTCACATACCAAAACAGTTATTCCAGTTATGTAATTTTTAAGGTTAAAAGTTCTCGTATGGGCATTTCTATTTAAAAAACGCTTTTTAACTTGCCATCAAACTTACCATTTCTCAAAAGGAGACCTTGTTTGACAATGTGTTTAGCCAACATTTTTCTTCAATTTTTCAGCGCTAAAATTAAGAAATAAAAACAAATTATTAGTTTTTTTCTTTTCTTCTGGAAATATTTGCAACTTGCCTGGTGTGTGGATGAAGAATTAAACTCAATCTGACAGTTCAGCTGTGCAGATTATGACAGTCGGTAGGCAGCAACAATAAACGATATGGCAATATTGATTAACTAAATCGTGACGTATGGCGTAAATGAGTTATATGAGACAGATTTGCTATTGTGGCGTAACGCCAAGAAAGTGACCAGAGTTTGATATGGAAAACAAACCAAAGAATTTAATAATTAAACATAAATTTTTGTCGAATCAAAATAAATTCGTGGATAAGTCGAAAATAGTATCGCTAGTTTACGTCAAAACGCAATATCCCAAAATGGGAGAGGTACTTTTTAAGGCCCGATTGTTAAATTTTAAGGCCATAAAAGTAAGTTTACATTGTACCGGATTTGGCTAACCCAGTGGGTTTAAATTGTGTATTCCTTTGATTATATGCCAAATATATCCTCGTAAAGTAGTATTGCAGAACGTGCAAGAATGTAAAAATGTTTATTACGATTGCAAATTTTTCATTTATAACAAATTTATAATATATATATATATATATATATTATACCAAGTGTAGGTTCTTAGAAAAATTCACTTCTTAGAGGTTCCGCATAGCTAAGAAGAAATCTGTAAGAAAATCATTAGTGAACATTTCTTTGAAAATTCACGCGTAAAAGGTTTAGCCCAGCTAAGAAAATATCTTTAAAAATCGTCAGTGGTTCCGTTAGTCTTTGGGAAATTCCTTAGGAAACCGAAGTCCCGAAGAAGATGGGGGATATAGCTTTGAAATGGTATATAATCAAATCTTTAAACAATCATTATTACTTCAGCTTAAACAAAACTTTGCTAGCAAAATTTGCTAGTCTTTGGAAAATTTCTGAAAACTCCATGCCTCAACGGAGACAAGAGATAGAGCTTTCAAATGATATACATACATTGATATTAATCCTACAACGATTTTTATTGAAAAGGACCCGGTCCCGTTTTTGGCATGTGGGAGTTTTCGTCGTGATTACCATAACCGAAGTGCATGTAATATTTCATTTCAAGTTCTTGCAGTAAAGAATTTTGCCTCAGAAATGTTTTTTTACGGGTCCACTATTTGATTTAGCTTCAATATAGAATTTCTGTTCATTTTTATGAGCATTATTAACATGAAATTGGATGAAATAAAATATGTGATATTTATCTCAATGTGAATCGGACTAGATCTAACCATTAACATGTCATTCGCTTGGGACAAAAGTATGAAAATCAAACAAATCGACTTCTAGAAAACGTAACTACCTTATTCTAGGCTAAATTTTGTACGTTGTTCAAAATTTGATGTCAATCTGACAAACATAAGGAGTTTGATGTACAATTTACTTAAAATCGGAACGAAAATACACATATATGGAAGCTATACCCAAATATGAAACGATTTCAACGAAACTTGTCACAGGTTAAGTTATACTAATTTCGGTACGTGACTTACGACCAAACCTTTGTTTATGTAAACAAATATTTTTTGATTCAAAACAAAAATAAATGACATATTTTTCAAAACCAAGGAGTTTGGTCCTAAGTCACTCGAATTCGTTCGTTTAGAATTTTACAAAAACAGGCTGTAAATCTCAACCGATTTTTACGAAACTTGGCACTCAAAATTCTGGACTAAATTCAGTATGTTAGCAATATAAGAACTTTGGCACATTATTTAAATTAAATCGGACGAAAAATTTATATATCTAGATCTGAACCGATTTTCACGAAACTTGGCAGACATAGCTCTAGGCTCAATTCAATACGTCATGCCAAATTTCGTGCAAAAGGGAAGATATATAGGGACTTTGGTGCACTTTTTACATGAAATCGGACGAAACTATATATGGAAGCTATATATAAATCCGGGCCGATTTTCATGAAACTTGGCAGACTTAATTCTAGGCTCAATTCAGTACGTTATGCCAAATTTCGTACAAATCGAAAGATATATAGGGACTTTGGTGCACCATTTACCTTAAATCGGGCGAAACTATATGTGGGAGCTATATCTAAATCTGAACCGATTTTCTCGAAACTTGGCACACATCATTCAGGACATAATTCAGTCCGCTATGCCAAAATTCTTGCAAATCGAAAGATTTTCAGGGTCTTTGGTGCACCATTTACCAAAAATCGGAAAAGATATATATTGGAGCTATATCTAAATTTGAACCGATTTTTCCCAATTTCAATAGGGTTCGTCCTTGGGAAGATATATAGGGACTTTGGTGCACTTTTTACATGAAATCGGACGAAACTATATATGGAAGCTATATATAAATCCGGGCCGATTTTCATGAAACTTGGCAGACTTAATTCTAGGCTCAATTCAGTACGTTATGCCAAATTTCGTACAAATCGAAAGATATATAGGGACTTTGGTGCACCATTTACCTTAAATCGGGCGAAACTATATGTGGGAGCTATATCTAAATCTGAACCGATTTTCTCGAAACTTGGCACACATCATTCAGGACATAATTCAGTCCGCTATGCCAAAATTCTTGCAAATCGAAAGATTTTCAGGGTCTTTGGTGCACCATTTACCAAAAATCGGAAAAGATATATATTGGAGCTATATCTAAATTTGAACCGATTTTTCCCAATTTCAATAGGGTTCGTCCTTGGGAAGATATATAGGGACTTTGGTGCACTTTTTACATGAAATCGGACGAAACTATATATGGAAGCTATATATAAATCCGGGCCGATTTTCATGAAACTTGGCAGACTTAATTCTAGGCTCAATTCAGTACGTTATGCCAAATTTCGTACAAATCGAAAGATATATAGGGACTTTGGTGCACCATTTACCTTAAATCGGGCGAAACTATATGTGGGAGCTATATCTAAATCTGAACCGATTTTCTCGAAACTTGGCACACATCATTCAGGACATAATTCAGTCCGCTATGCCAAAATTCTTGCAAATCGAAAGATTTTCAGGGTCTTTGGTGCACCATTTACCAAAAATCGGAAAAGATATATATTGGAGCTATATCTAAATCTGAACCGATTTTTCCCAATTTCAATAGGGTTCGTCCTTGGGCCAAATAAATGAGCTGTACCAAATTTCAGCCAAATCGGATTAAAAATGCGACCTGTATTTTGTTTACAATTTAACATCAACAGACAGACGGACGGACGGACATGCATAAATCGACTTAGAAAGTGATTCTATGCATATTCTCAAAATGAACCATGTGTCTATCTCGTTTATTTTTGCCTGTTACAAACATATGCACAAAGACATAATACCCTGTACCACAGTGAGGTGAAAGGTATAAACACGATACAAGTGGTTGTGTCTATTTAAACATTTTTTAACACATAACTAAAAACGCGAAAAATTAATGTAAGGTTATGATTTCTTCTGAAAATCCAGTAGGGCATACTATGACATGTTTCCTTCAACCATAAAAAGGAAATTACTTGCAAGCGAACGTGGCAAAACATCTTCAATTTAATTTGAATTTTTGAATGGTACCCAGCTAACAATTTGTTTTGGTTTTTTTTCTGAATTCGGAACCATACTTTGCAAAAGTTTACGATTCTGATGACGAATTTACACCGAAATCGGAACAAAATTGTGTGAAGGTGGCCACGAATTCGGATAGTTTTGTCGGAAACAAATCGGAAGGAGCATTCCAGTTTCTTAACGAATTCGAAAAAAAACTCGGGTGAAATAAAGGGAAATTTTATGCGAATTTTCAATTTTCTGCACAATTTCGGACAATAATCTAAAGGAATAATTAGACCATGATACGTTGTAATAATTATACCATGATAAAAACTCCAGCTTGGTCGAACTTCACGGCGTGTTTGCTATTTTTGTACACTCCGCCAGAAAGGTGGAGTATAAATTTGCCGGAAACGCCATAACATATATCCTTGGTTTGAATAAAATTCTATGTCGATTTTGCCATGCAGAAAGAGATTTGATAGGCCCCTTAATTTCAGTATTTTGAAGGATTTATCCGCATTTTGCAAAGGAAGTTACAGTAATTTACCATTTCGAATTCTTTATAGGCAGAAAATGTTCAATATAGGTTCTTGTTTTGATATAAGCCTCTATATCTTCACATAACTTTTGATGCCTACCCCCATTTTGAGATATTTTGATTGTTGTAGGCGCATTTTCCAGCCGAAGTGGCTGTAATTTGACTGTTGTTTTTTTCAGACAATAAAAAACTCTCCGCCAGAACTTTTACAATAATATAGCCCCCATATAAGGAGATCTCCCCATGACGGAGGGTGTAGAAAGTTCGGCCAATCTTATAGAAAATTGGTTTTTCAGACAATAAAAAACTTTCCGTAAGACATTTTATAATGATATAGCCCCATATAAGGAGATTCCCCCATATATAGAAATTCTGTTTTTATATTGTATTAGATGAAAGGTGTATATTACAAATATTACAGTGTGGTAAATTTCCGGATTTGTTGTGAACATTTTAAGCGGATAGTGTATCTTAAATTTTTAAATAAATTGTTAATTAATAATTCATGTTTTACTGTGGCCTGGTTCTCTTAACCGCACAACAAAAGAGAACCAGAACTAAGAGATAATGGCTATAGCAGAAAACAGAAAATTGAATGGAGAATGTGCAAACTAGACAACAGCGAAAAAGAAGCATTGCCACTGGGTGTTCGGAGTTCATTAGTCCCACAAAGTCAACGTGATGTGGTTCTGCACCAGTGCAATTCTAAATGTTTTAACGCGAAGTCCATAACAGCGGATGACCAAACGAAACGAATCGAGGCGCGTGTGTGTTGATGGTGTGTGATCCGTGATCCTCTTTTCCTCCTTTTGTTATAGTTATTTGTGTTGTTGTATATCTAGCATTGAACCAATGTGAAGTTCATTTAAACAAAACGACAACGTTAAGAATACAAATCAGAAGAGGAGTACAGCAAGACGTTAAAGTGTTTCTTCTTTTTTTATATATATTATTTAAATAATAATTTAAAAAATGCAAGTGTTTTACGAAACAAAATAAATATTTCA